AGGGACCATTCCCTGGAGAAGGATGTCATGCTTGGTAGGGTGGAGGGTCGACGAAAGAGGGGGAGGCCTTCAAGGAGATGGATTGATACGGTGGCTGTGATGATGGGCTCAAGTATAGCAGGGATTGTGGGGCTGGTGTGGGGTCGGGCAGTGTTTCGTTCTGCTGTGCATGGGGTCGCTATGAGTTGGAAATGACTCGACAGCACTTAACAACAACAACAACATGTAAAAGGAATACAATAATCCACAAAGCTGAAGAGACAGAAGATGTGTTCATTTTGTGTACCAGCAATTTTCTCATCATCAGGAAAAGCATCTTGTAACTTTTAGAGATGATTTAATTCTTTCAATATAAATTTGAGAAATCTGAGAACAATCATCAGCAAGAATTTTTAATGATGATTCACGATGCTTTTACTGTGTGTATCAAAAATGGTACCATTCTTACTTATTTGGTGAGTTTTTCATGGCTTCACATGTTTTCTAACTTGGTAATGTGGCCAGTGACTCCACCATGCAACGGAGACAGCAGAGTTACTACAACGGGTTCCTAAAGCCACATATGCAGCACTAGGTATTCAAAGACTACAGATAATCTGATTGGGTAGATTACATAAATTTTTAAAGTTTATCTTCACATTGTTATGATTAACAAAGAAAAATTGAAAAAAGTGTTACTGAATTCCTAGTGGGAATATATAATATAATATAATATAATATTTCCAAAAATCAATGGAAAAAGTATAACTGCTATCAAGAGACATCCAAGAATTTGTATCATCACTACAAAGGTTTCCTTTAGGTTGAAAAAACAAAACAAAACAAAAAGTTGGAATTTACTGCTGTACACCAGAGGAAACAATCCAGCTCAGAAGGCTAAGATCACAGCAGCAATCAGGAAATCGGATCCAATACTTTAAAAATCTCTTTTACCAAAGCATGAAATAGGCAGCTTTTATACTTTTTATAAACAGCTACAGAAAGCTTCCTAAAGGTATCGTTACACTTTGCAGGAAGATCAATAGGAGGAGGAGAGGCCATCTTCAACACTCCTTAAAAAGACTATTAAGAAATGATATATAGGGAATAGACGATAATGAAAAATAAACATGTAATTAAAGAGAATCCAAACAATAAATAGAATAAAGTTACTGAATGGAAAAACAAACAAACAAAAGGTACAAAGCTAGGATGAATGGGTATTTGAATAAAGGACATTTAAAAACATTTATTAAGGAGATGTAATATGGAAGACACAGAGCTACATACATATTTCTTATTTAAATACCCAACTTTCCATATAGTTTCGAGGCACCTCTGGGTGGATTCAAACTGCCAATCTTTCAGTCAGAAGCTAAGCTCATAACTATCTGTGCTACCCAGGGACATACATATATACATACTGGTGTTAGTTGCTAACTCATGGTGACCTATGTATTAAGAAGACTGAATGTATTAACTGCTCCATAAGCTTTTCAAGGCCGTGAACTCTCAGGAGATTGCCAGGACTGGCTTTCAGAGACACTCTGGGTGAGTTCAAACCACCAAATTTTCAGCTAGTAGACAAATGTTCACCATCTGTGCCACTTCAGGGACTCCATGGCTAACTGGTAGTGCACAGTTTTCAAATTCATGATTCTAAATTCTTTGGAATTTGTACTGTAGAGTCTGCATGTTATTAGTCTAATGTGAATTTACATAAATATTACCATTTACTTAAGTTATTAAGCCTCAAAGTTTTCTTTATTAAATATAGCAGACTTTTTACTTAAATGAGTACTTTATTTTTATATTCCCACTTACTAAAAAAGAAAATTGAGGAAGTTGTATGTTATTGAAAGGAAATTTATTTTAAAACATATTAACTTAGTTAAGTAAAAATTTAAGGTAAAGAAGTAAATACAACTGAAGCAATTTATATAGTTCTACTGGCAGGACAAGTTAGATGACCAGTCACAAACACTGAAATTAAGATGGATACTATCTTCCAATTCAAATTTTAATAGAAGAAATAGAGATCTAGAAAGTGAACAACTTAGGTACCTAGATTAGTTAGGTAAAGAGCCAGACTCAATGTCAATCCTATTTCTAATATAGGGTTCTTTCTAATATAGCACATGACCTTGAACTCATCTGTGACATAATGTTTACCAGATTAACTAGGAAGAATTCTATTTTCATGTAGCTGAACTCTAACAAAATTTCTTTATATTGACAGATATTTTATCAGATGTTTACTTTAGGAAAAAAAAAATTCTGCTTAAATGTTTAGCTCATTGGGCCTATAAAAGTGGTAAATAATTATTAAGACTGTAACTGTGGCTGCTAAAAAGACATCTTCATTCAATGAACATACCTACTGTAACCTGTATCGGCAAACTGAATTTCAATAGGACTTGGGTTGGGGAGTATACAGGTGGGACTCGTTTCGAAGAACAAGCTTTCTCATTTAAAAGTATCCTCACATAAAACAAAAAGACTTCTTGTCATGTATAAACACACAGAAATGAACAAATGGGATAGAACCAAGAAAGAACTTGGTAAAAAGTATCAAATCACAAAAAAAGTAAACATTAACTTTTATGGCCCACTAAAAGGTAAAAATGACATTTTTATGATGACTAAATAAAAACAACAAAAGCAAGTAAAACATTAACACAAACAAACCTATTTTATCCAACTCAATGCAATACATTTCCTTAACTACTGTAAAATGTAACGTAAAGCAAAATATTACTTGTAAATAGGCAGGGAAGGTTTCTTCAAGTTTATTTTTCCTTTTTCGGTATCTCTTCTTTATTTTTTCAGTACTTTCAGCAACAGAAACAGATTCATCAACTAGAGTATCTGGTAACTGCTCACTCCAGCCTAAAAGAACAGTTATATTTATAAATGTGTAGCATTTAAAAATTACAGACAAATTCACCCAAGGTAATGTTATATCTTACCAACATATATAGTTCCATAAAAACAAGCTAGTTTTTTCAGAAAGAGAGTTCAAAGCTTACTAGTAAGTTTTAAGTATCATTTCTAATTAGAATTAGCAGGTGTTTCCTATTGTGTTTTTTCTTAATAATCAGTAATTCTCTGCAAAGCAGAAACCTTTCTGAAACAAAATGATAAAACTGGTAATGTTCATGAGTATAGAAAATGGCTACTCATATGCTACTAACAGGAATTTAACAATTACAACTTTTGTAGGGGATATTGGGATATCCAACCAGTCTTTAAAAAAAGTGTTTCCTTCAATTCAGCAATTCCCACTCCAGGAATTTATTGCAAATCAGTTATCTGTAGTATATACACATTGTGAAAATACAAGACTATTGATATGAAAGACATTCAATCTTACAATCAGAAATGAAAATAAAATTTTAGACTGAAATTAGCAAAGAAACAAGAATACCACTTAAAGCATACAGGTAAGCAACAAAACTGACACTCTCATATGCTTCTTAAAGATAGGACAAATAACACATCCTTTCTGAAAATCAATGAGAACATTTCTCTTGCTAAACTACATAGCGGGATTAATTCTTTCTTTCAAAACAATGAAGAACAGTGGATAAACATTATATATTTTATTTAACGTAAGTTGTGTTATTTTATTTTTTAAAACTTTTTATTGTGATTTGGGTAAAAGTTTACAAAGCAAATTCATTTTCTATTCAACAGTTCATATACATTTTGTTTCATGACCTTGATTGCAACCCCCACAATGTAACAGCTTTCTTCTCACTTCCTCCCTGTGGTTACCACCCTGTGTATGTCTTTCCTATGCCTTCTAAGCTTTCTCTCTGCACAACTGCTGGCCAATTGTCCTCCCATGGATGATTGCTCTAAGGAGTGTATCTCCCTGGTGTAAATGTTCACCTGTAGGCCTGTCTATTGTTTGGCTGAAAGTTAAGTCACTGGAGTGAGTTCAATTCCAGGCCTGAAAAGTGACTAGGGGTCATAGTTTCAGGGGTTTTCACCAGTCTCTATTAGACCAGTAACCGTGGTCTTTCTCATGATTTTTTTCTCCCACTCTGTTAATCTCTTTCCAAGTGACTGTCAGTGGTAGTAGCCAATCACCATCTAGTTCTTCTGGTCTCAAGGTCGTGTAAGCTGAAATTCCCATGTCCACTAGTCCCCTGGATTAACTGTCTCCATGGACCTTCAATTTTCTTTACTCTTCTTTGTTCCAGTTGAGAAGAGACCAACTGTTGCGCCTTACATGGCTGCTCGAAAGCTTTTAAGACCCCACTCACTACTCACCAAAGTAGGATGTAGAACGTTTTTGTGTGTTATGTTGTGCTAATTGAGCTTGATGCCCCCTGCAATCAAGGTCCTGATGCCACAGACCCAGTAAAACATTTCTTTATGGTATTTGATTGTAGCTAAGAAGTTATAACTTTGCACCCTATTTGCTCTATTATATATGTGAATATTTTTATAGCACATTCAAATATGTATACAGAAATACCACTTGACAAAATTATATATGGTCATGGGTATATTCCCATTTGCCTAACTATGTCTGATCATCTTGCTTATCTACCTATGTATCTAATCTATTCCTAAACTAATGTTTATTACTGGTAATGCAGTATTATGTCTGTAATAGTATTTACCTTTGTTGTCTGTACTTCTTGTGCCTCTCTATGTCTTCCTTTTCCTTAGTGTTACTGTGCTGGTTATCCAATTTTCATATATTGTTTTTCCATTCACCAAAATTAATACGTGTCTCTTACCTAGCTAGCAATTTTCTCTACCTTTCCTGCTCATCCCTATTAACCAAAAAAGAAAGTTCCCTTCTGTGTATAAACCTTTCCCTTGACTTTTTATAAAAGTGAACTCATACAATATTTGTCCTCCTGTAATTCACTTATTTCACTCGGCATACTATCCTCCAAGTTCATTAATGTTACTAGGTGTTTCATGAATTAGTCATCATATTCTTTAATGTTGCCTAGTATTCCACTGTTATTGTGGGTATGTACCACAAGTTAGTTATCTATTCATCTGTTGATAGGCACTTAGGTTGTTTCCTCCTCTTTGCTATTATAAACTGTGCTGGAATAAATATGAGTGTGTTCATAACCTGGCTCTTACTCCTTTAGGATATATACTTAGTAGTGGGATTGCTAGATGAAACTGTATTTCTATTTCCAACTTTTTAAGGAAGCGCCATACTATTTTCCATAGTGGTTGTACTATTTTATAGTACCACCAGCAATGTATCAGAGTTCCACTCTCTCCACACCCTTGCCAGCAATTGGTGTTTTCTTTCTTGTTGAACTTTGCTATTATTGCTAGGGTGAGATGATATCTCATTGTTGTTTTGCTTTACATCTTTCCAGTGGCTAATGATCATGAGCATTTCTAAATATACTTGTTGGCTGCCTGAATATCTTCTTCACTGAAGTGTCTATTCATGTCCTCTACCCATTTTTTTTTTTTTTTTTTTAATCAGGTTGTCTTTTGGATGTTGAGGTGTTGAAGTAGTCTACAAACTTTAGAAATAAGTACTTTGTAAGGTATGTCATTGCCAAATACTTTTTCTCAACCTGTAGGTTTCCTTGTTACTCTTTTGGGGGAATCTTTTGACATGCATAAAAATGTAATTTTTAGGAGATCACAGTCCTAGTCTGGTTCCCATTTGCAAAGGAGATTCTCCCTGTTTTTCTCCATTGATAATAATGCTGGCTATTGATGATATGTATATGACCATTTTTATGCTTAGGAAATTTCCTTTCTTATTTTGTTGAGAGTTTTTTTTTTTTTTAATAAGGAATGGGTGTTGGGCTTTATTAAATGCTTTGTCTGCATCTATTGATATGACGATGTGGTTCTTTTCCTTTATTTATATGATAGATTATGTTGATTGTTTTTGTGAAGTTGAACCATCTTTGCATACCTATTATGAATCCCACTTTGTCCTAATGTGTGTGTGTTTTTTTTTTTTTGGGGGGGGGATGTACTGCTGTATTCTATTTGGTAGGATTTAGCTGAAGATTTCTGCATTATATTTATGGGGGATATTGGTTTGTAATTTCCCTTGTTAGTGGTGTCTTTGTCTGGTTTTGGTATCAGTGATATATGCTTGCTTCGTTAAACGAATTTGGGAGTGTTCTATTTGTTTCTATGTTCTGGAATAGTTTTAGTAGGATTGGTGTCAGGTCTTTTCTTAATGTTTGGGAGAATTCTCCAGTGAACCCATCTGGGCAAGGACTTTTTCTTTTGGCCATTTTTTTTCTTTTTTCAATTTCTTCTTTTGTTATGTGGTTTTTCAAATGTTCCACCTCAGTCTGTTAGTTTAGGTAGGTAGTGTGTTTCTATAAATCTGTCCATTTCTTGTTTTCAAATTTGTTGGAGTACAGTTCTTCGTATTATCCTGGTATTTTATTTTCGTTGGTTCTGTTGTGAGATCACGTGTTAAATTTCTTATTCATGTTATTTACATTTTCTTCTTTTCCTTTGTTAAATTTGTCAGTGGTCTGTTGATTTTATTAATCTTTCCAAAGAACCAACTTCTAGTGTTGCTGAGTCTTTCTACTGTTTTCCTGTTGAAATCATTTTTTTCTGGTGACTGTAGCTTTTTCTGCTGCACCTTTTTCTAACTGTTGGAGCTAATGGGGTAAGGTGTTGATTTTGGCTTTGATGTGTGTATTTATTGCTATAAATTGTATTGTGAGCATTCGTTTTGCTGTGTCCCAAAGATTTTCCTATGTTTTGTTTTCATTCTTGTTGGATTTGGACTTTTTTAATTTCATTTTTTATTTCTTCTAGTACCTAGTAGAGTTCTGGTGATGTAGTACTTAAGCCATTTGACTGCTAACCAGAAGGCTGGTGGTTCAAACTCACCAGCCACTCCCTGGAAGGAAGATTGGGCAATCTACTTCTGTAGTGATACTGCCTTGGAAACCCAAGGAGGGATAGCTATGAGTCGGATCTGACTTGATGGCAGTGAGTTTGGTTTTTGTGTTTTTTCAGTACCCAGTAGTTTTTAAGGAGGGTTTATTTAGTTTCCACGTGTTTGCTATTTTTCCTTGATCTTCATATTGTTGATTTCCAATTTTATAGCACTATGATCTTAGAAAATATTTTGTAGTACTGCAATGTTTTTACATTTACTGAGGCTTGTTTTATGGCCTAACATATGGTATATTCTGGAGAATGTACCATGTGTTCTGGAAAAGAATGTATATTGCGCTGTTGTTAAGTGAAGTGCTATGTATATGTCTATAGTAAGGTCAAGGTGGTTGATTGTACTGTTCAGTTCTTCTTTAGCTTTGCTGAGTTTCTTTCTAGTTGTTCTTGTCTTCATTTGAAAGTGATATATTAAAGTCTCCTACTATTCGGAAGGAAGGTTGGGCAATCCTACTTCCGTAGTGATACTGCCTCGGAAATCCAAGGAGGGGTCGCTATGAGTCAGGTTTGACTCGACGGCACATAACAACAACAACAACACTATTGGGGAATTATCTATTACTCTTCAATTCTGTGAAAGTTTGGTTTACCTATATTGGGGCTCTTTCATTAGGTGCATGAACAGTTATTATGGTATGTCCTCCTGTTCTATTTATCCTTTAATCATAATGTAATGCCCTTCCTTGTTCCTTATGGTGTTTGCCTTAAAGTCTGTTTACTCAAAAATTGAAGTTGTCACTCATATTTATTTGATTACCATTTGCTTGATGCATTTTTCCCCAATCTTTTATTTTTAATCTATTGTTGTTGTTGTTGTTTTATGTCTAAATTTTATCTTGTGCATTGATGGGTCATGTTTTCTTATCCATTCTGCAAATGTCTCTTGATTGGTGCATTTTATCCATTTACATTCAGTGTAATTATCAACAAGTATGAATTTACTGCAGTCTTTTTGCTATGTGTTTTTTTATGGTGTTGCTGATTTCTCTGTTCCATATAATTTTCTGTGCTGAGTTAATTCTGTTTATGGATTTTCTTATCATTTTCTACTTTGCTATTGTGTTCATATTTGCTAATTATTTGTATTTTTCTTCTTTTTTCATTTGGATGAGAATGTTATTAATTTTTTTCGAAGTTACTCTGTGATTTATTATTTTCTTCCCAAGTTTAACACAGTCCATGCTATCTTGAAATCATCTTGACTTTCTCTCCATTTGGAAGCTCTGTAACTATATTATGTAGTCCCTTGTTTTACTTTGTAGTTGTCCTCATTTGCCAATTGATGTCTCTGGTTCCGTTTTCAGTCTTGTAAGTTCACTTTACTTTGGACACTTCTATTGAATAAATGTTCTTTAAAGAAATCTTTTTAAATGAATGTGTAATCTATCCAGAAAATAAAGAATTCCCAGAGACCAAAACTTAACATAAAATAGGAACCACAGAAGTAAGCAAAGAACTAATGGTCTCTGAAATTTCCTATAATCTGGTGACCTTGAATTCCAGTTTTCAGAGCTGTATATGTAGAATAGAACACAAAGCTTATGGCCTTCCCACGGTGGAGAGACTATGCAGGGGTGACTTGCATTAACAAGAAATACATCCTACCCTATCTTTTCCATATATCACATTCATTACTCCCCACCAGCATAAAGAAAATTGCTTGTTATGTCATTAATTTGGTGCAGGGTAGAAAGGTAAAAATGAAAATTATCTAAAAATTCAAATTCAATATAGCTACAATGTGGGTAAAAATTTTGAATTCATTTAACTTAATGTGATGAAAAACTTCAAGCTAAGAACTTAGTTTAAGGAGTCCTGGGCTGGTAATACTTCATGCTACTGGTAGTAACAAATGAAAACCTCTGAAGAACTCACACTCAATTTACTACTCAAAAGTTCACATAGAGAATGTTCCAAAGAAAGTAATCTCAAGGTTAAAATAATAATTATTACACACACACACACACACACACACACGTATGTAAAGAGCTATGGAAGCATAGTGGATAAGGCATTTGGCTGCTAAGCAATTTGTCGGCAGTTCGTACCCATCAGCTGCTTTTGGAAGGAAGATGGGGCAATCTACTTCTGTAAATATTTACAGCTTTGGAAACCCAATGGGGGTTGCTATGAGTTGGAATCAATATAACGGCAGTAAGTTTGTTTTTGTGTGTGTGTGTGTGTGTGTGTATATACACACACATATATATGTTGTTATGTGCCGTTGAGTCGAACCCAACTCACAGCGACCCCTTCTTGGGTTTCCGAGGCAGTATCACTACGGAAGTAGATTGCCCCATCTTCCTTCTGAGGACAACAATGCAGGTTGAATGTTTATGGTCTCAAGAATATATGATTAATGTAATGTGTGGGGAGGTGATCCGTGGCACAAATGAAGTTTAACAAAAAAGGGAGCTCTGGTAGCATAGTGCCTAAGGCACTTGACTGATAACCAGAAGGCTGACGGTTCAAACCCACCAGCCACTCCTCAGAAGGAAGGTTGGGCAATCTACTTCCATAGTGATACTGCCTCGGCAACCCAAGGAGGGGTTGCCATGAGTCGGGTCCGACTCGATGGCATATAACAACAACAACAACAACAAAAAATATATATATACACACACATATACACATATACACACACAAATATATGCAGCGTGATATATTGTTTTCATATGGCCTTCCTAACCATGGTCTTGTAACTCCCACCAAATAATTGCAAACCTATGCAAATAAAGTTCTGTGGCCCATGAGTGGACTGTCACCTTACTACTACTAACACAAATAATGCACATGGTATTCTTGTGGGGGTGGGACTATGCAAATATAGTATACAGAACCCTAATGAGAGGATTGGTCATTTTGCCATTCTGCTAGGCTTAAAATGAGCTATCTAAGAGGTAGAAATGGGGCACTGCTACCACCACCATGAAAAAAGACAGAAGCTGAGTGTGTCCTTTGGACCAAGAGTCCCTGTGCTGCGAACCTCCTAGACCCAGGAGATAGAGCTGTAATACCAGACCTGGTGAGAAGCAGCAGCAGAAAAACAGTGGCAGCAATACCAAGAGACTAGTACAAGACTCACAGTGAGCTTCCAGGCCCACAGAGTGAGCCTGAGCACTTGTCCATGGGTCTAGGCTTGTCAACCTATGAGTGAAAACTGACAGCATTCAAAAAGGAGTCTTTCTGGCACAGTAGACTTTCTCTGGACACTTACTGGTGGAGCTAAAGAGTTTAGTAATACTTTGTGGAGCAGGGTAGAGGCCAGGTTGGCCTAAGAGGCTAGAGGAGCCATGGGGTTGAGGGCAAACAAGCTAAGGGCAGGGAGAGGCCTGCCTAAAAGCATGGCTTAGAAGAAGCTGTCTTGAACTGTATCCTGAGTCTTTCCTGATCTAGAATTACAACCTGTTACCTCGCCAATAAATCTCTTAACTGTGAGTATTACCTATGAGTTCTGTGTGGCCACTGAAACAAATAATCAAACCCAGCAAAGAAGTAGAAAGTGTTGTGGAAAGGTGAGTTGTGTCAGAAATTGTAAAAAAAGGTTGGAGAGAGGAGGCATGTCTGACCTCTGCCTCATAGGAATCAGCTCTGGGATAACACTGCTGATGGTAACACTCTTCTCTCATGACAACAGATGCCTATACCACACTATTTTTTATAATATTTGTATCTTACAATACACACAAAGAAATGAGGCACTAAGAGCCAGTAGATAAAAAAAAAAAAAAAAAAAAGGTAGAATCAGATCTGTAATAGTCTATTTACATCAACTGGATCTGTGAATAATAAAAGAGGACTGAAAATATAAGTAAGGAATATGCAATGATAGAAATTGTTCACCAAAATGACAGTTTAGAAAAGGAAAAAATTCTATATGAAATTGAAAACTTAGTGAGTGAACTAGATGAGACACAGATAAAGAAACAGAAACCTAAACTAAAAAATAAATCCAAACAAATTATTTAGAGGACAGAATAACAAGAGATGGAAAACACGAAAAACCGTTTCAGTGAACATATTAAATTTCTTAATCAGGGCCTATTATAACCATATTTTCAAATTTAAAAACTTCTTGGAAACCATTATGTTATTTCCTTTTTAAATTATGCAACAATTTGTGATTTTTATGAATTCATTGGAGTTCATAGCTCCATCCTCTAATAATAGAAGAACTCTATGTATAGCACATACTGAGCAAAACAGAATTCTCTTCATACATTTTATTAAAATACTTCAAAACATATGAGCCATACAGATTAGGATCATACAGATTATAAATTCTAGAATCAACTCTCAGATTGGCTAAACAGGGAATAGTATATTTTTAACTGATATAAAGTTATGCCCTTGTCTTTCTTTTAAGTGCTAAGTGAGAGTGACAGTATTAATTGGAAAATGTGTTTTTAAAGCATTATACAATATTGTTAAAGATTGTTGGAGTACTCTGTCACTTTCAACAACATAATGTAAAAATTTTGAATTTTATGCAAAGTAGCTAAGATAGGGCAGGGAAGTCCTTTTGTGAGATAACCAGGAAGTACTTTATGTAACTACTGCATTCCAAAATGTTTATACTTAATAAAGAAAGAAACTTAAAAAAATCTCAAAGGAATGAAATCTATTGGATTTAAACCATTTCCTTACCAAATCTGACTTCTATGTTACTGTGGCAGTTAAGGTTATGTGTCAACCTGGCTAGGCCTGGTTATCAGTGGCTGGGCAGCTGGATGTAGTTGTTCCCCATGATGAGATTCTATGGTGAAACCTACTGTGAATAGCTGAGTAGCTGCCTTAGGGATGCAGTCTGTTTCCAGTATATAAGAGAATGCTTTGAGAAAGGTCTCTGAGTTTGGCACATTTGGCTGAGTCTTCATCTCAATGGCCTGCTATGCTATCTGCTAATCTTGGGACTGTTAATGGACTTGAATTAGTGGCCTGCCATGTTGTGTTATAATTCTGGGATTGTGCCATTTTATTTATTGACCTTGGGTTTGTCAGCGTCAGAAGCAAGAGGCAGAAGTGAAGCCCAAGGTCAGGGGGCTTTTTACTTAGCCCCTAGAGCTGGCACTCTGAACTCAGACTTCTAGCCTCCTAAACAGTAAGAGATACTGCCTCGGAAAACCAAGGAGGGGTCGCTATGAGTCGTGTCCAACTTGACGGCACATAACAACACCACAATAAGCAGTAAGAGAATATAAACTCCCTGTTTAATGAAACCACCCACCTGTGGTGTTTTCTGTTAAAGCAGCATTAAGTAACCAAAACAGTTACAGATATGAACTTTGATGCTTTGATCAAGAAAAATCAGTAAGGCTGTGACTGTAGCATTATTTATGATAGCTTTTTTCAATTAAAAATATGACAAAGGTTTTAAGTCAAACAAAATCAGTAACATACCATCATCTTTGGCAGGTATCTGCTCAGAAATAGAGCCTGAGGAATCTTTTCTTATCACAGATCTTTTGGTTTTTCCTTGCCCAGTTCGACTTCTTTGCCGTACCATAAATCCACCAATACCTATCCAAAAAAGAAATTGGGTAAACTGGTAAATAACTAATATCTCCCTATATTTATTCAATCTAGACTAATTTTAACCAATACTGTCATTTTTATGTAAAATATGAGTTTAGAAATAAGCAAATAAAAAAGTTAAAGGCATTGTTATCGCCAAATAGGAATTAAAATTCATTAGTGTACAGACTCCTCAGGAGGAAGATTGGGGAATCTACTTCCCCAGTGATACTGCCTTGGTAATCCAAGGAGAGGTCAAAGTGAATTGGATCTGACTTGACGGCAATGTTTTTTTTTTTTTTGGTGGCACAGGACCTAAGGCATTTGACTGCTAACCAGAAGGTTGGTGGTTCAATCCCACCAGTTGCTCCATGGAAGCAAGATAGGGCAGTCCACTTCCATAAAGACTTATCGCCTTGGAAACCTAATATAGGTCACTGAGTCGGAATCAACTCGACGGCAGTGAGTCTGGTTTTAGTGTACAATGTCAGAATAATAAACAATAAAGTGTGTTTATTTACCTATTTAACAAATACTAGTTATTCACATTATTTGTCTACTAGATGAGAAGAAAAGATTAAAGATACTTACAAACTAAGCTAGATGCCACAAACATTATTTGATTAGTATGACTTCATGGGACTTTGTCTATGTATTCCATATTATCAAGACCTGAGACACATAGAGCTCCATGGTTGAACATGAACTCTGGAGCCAGACCACTTAGGTTGAAATTCTGGTTACTGATTGACTTTGGGCAAGTTACTTAACTTCACAGTACCTGAATTCTCTCATTGGAAAAAGTGTTGTTGTTGTTGTTGTTGTTGTTGTTATGTGCCATCGAGTCAGACCTGACTCATAGCGACCCCTTCTTGGGTTTCCGAGGCAGTATCACTACGGAAATAGATTGCCCAACCCTCCTTCTGAGGAGTGGCTGTGGGTTTGAACCACCAGCCTTCTGGTTAGCAGTCAAGTGCTTTAGGCACTACACTACCAGAGCTCCTATTGGAAAAAGTAGGAAAATATGTATCACCTCCTGATACATATGTTCTGAGGATTAGATGAATTAATATATGTAAAATGCTTAGACTAGTGATTGGCACATAGTTAACATTATAAAGTTTTGCCATTATGATACAGTTGTCTAGCAAAATATTTTGTGATCTAATGGACCCCTCAATTACAGAGATGCCTTCTATGTACAGGAAAATAGCACTAAATATAACTTCCTAGAAGGAAATTTCAATTTGCACAGTGCATTAAAAAAAAATAAAAGCATGTATAAGCTTATAATTAGGATAAAATTGTTTACATAAAATAGATTGAATGAATTTATAGTTATGAGATGTGGCCAATCTCCAAGGAAGATAACCTTTTAATATCTTTTAATATCTTGCTTTTCTCTCTGCCCCTGAGGCAGTAAGAAAACAAGAGTGATTATTTTTCATAATATTAACTGGTTTATAAATTCTAGAGGCATAGGAACTCTGTCTTGTTCAACTGCATACTTATTGTCACTCCTGCATAAAGACTCAAGACAAATTTTAAAAACATTCAAATATTAGGTCTGGAATTGAACCCACCTCTGTAGCTTCCAGCCCAACAAAAGACAGGCATATGAGTTGAACATTTACCCAAGGTAGATACAATCCTTGGAGAGAACAATCATGGGAGGGCTGTTTATGCACAGGGAGACAGCTCAGGGGGCAGGAATACATGGAGGGATGGACACAGGGAAGAGGTAACTATCAGGAAGAAGTGGGAGGGGAACTGCTGCATTGGGGTAAATTGTAGTCAATGTCATGAGACAAAGTGTATGTGAACTGCTGTATGGAAAGTGAATTTGCTCTGTAAGCTTTCACCCAAATCACAATTAAAAAAAAAAAAAAAAGGAAAAAAAATTTAAATATTAGAAAGTAAATACTAAAACACATAAATAATTTCAAAAGTCCAAGTACAAATAAAATCAACCTTGTGAAGCATGTAATAATTAGCATCTCGGTTAAGGCATTAAATAATAATTTATTGTGGAGTTTTCATTTACTCAGACAAAGGAATTCACCAGCTAAAAAATCATACTCAAGCAGATTAGTTCTTTAATTTATACATACAGGCTTCAGTTCAGAAAGTTATGATGCTGTATTTAATCTTGATTATTTAATTTTAATTGAAGTCCTCAATATTATATTTTTATCAAATTAACTAAGTTTGATTGTATTAAAATATCTAGCTCAGGCACCATACCTGGTCTGTATGGTTTCCTTTTTCTTTTTTTGACACCCTCTGCTCCTTCTACTCCCTTAGTTTCATCATCCACAGCTTCTCGCTCAGGACTAGATTCTGATTTTCCATCACAATCCATAAGTTCTCCTTCTGGATAAAAGTAAATGTATAGATAAAACTAGAAAACATATTAGATACACAATTCCTATGTAATAAGAAATAAATAGTAAAAGTAAAAATAAATAAATAAAAGTGGTTGCTGAACTAGTCTAATCCTGCATCTCAGTTGATAGAGAAAGTACAGTAAGACTTAAAAAGTTCCAAATGGACTTAGAAATCATGCTGCTTAATGTGTTGTTCTCAGGAAAGGAAACATTAAGAATAAGAATAAAGAAAATAGATATACACACCTCAAAATGACCATTATAAATCAAGGTGCACTTAAATCATCCCTTTGTTTTTAGGCCTAGGACCTTAAAGTAGTCTCCAGCTTAGAACTCTCTCTTCTGAGATCCAACAACAGACACCAAGGTACTGAAAGCTCTATATCCAAAACTGAATTCCTAATTCAAGATAACCTTGGCTCCCCTTTTCCAAGTGTTATGAATCATCATTAAAGGCACTGAAACCAACCCTAGAGAAGCCAGACCCCTAGGGGAGAGCCTTGACCATGCCTAACTCTTTATTTTTCCCCCATAAATAGAGCTCTGGTGGTGCTGTGGTTAAGGTATTAGGCTACTAACCAAAACATCCATGGTTTGAACCCACCAGCTACTCCACGGGAGAAAGATGAGGTAGCCTCCTTCTGTAAAGATTTATAGCCTTAGAAACTCTTTGGGGGTCATATAAGCTGGAACTGACTCAATGGCAGTGGGTTTTTTTCCCCCCACAGGTAGGACTTATCTATTCTACTTCCTGAATATCTCTCAAAATCATGTTATTTCTTTCTGTCATCTTTCCAGAAGTGGTAGAAAGAAAGAAAATGATTTTGGCAAAGAATAGTGAATGTACCATGGCCTGCCAGAAGAATGAAAAAATCTGTCCTGGAAGTAGTACAACCAGTATACTCCTTAAAAGCAAGGATGGTGAAACTTTGTCTCACATACTTTGGACCTGTAATCAGAAGGGACCAATGCCTGGAGAAGAACATCAAGCTTGGTAGAGGGGTCAGTGAAAAAGAGGAAGACCTTCCACAAGATGGGTTGACACAGTAGCTGAAACAAAAAGCTCAAGCACAGCAATGACTGTAAGGATGGTACAGGAACAAGCATTGTTTTGTTGATTACACACTGTCACTGTGAGTTAGAAATGACCTGACAGCACCTATCAACACCATCACTACCATCCTCATCCTATCTTCCAGATGGTTTACATAACAGCATCCTATCTGATTTCCCTACCTGCAGGCATACCCTCTCTCCAATCAGTTCTTTAAATTGTAGTTTAAATGATCTTTCTATAAATATGTATTAACTTTCTGCTTAAAATTCCTAAGTGTCTTCCCAGTGCCCTCCAAATAAAGCTCACATTTTAAGGCCAATTATACGAGGGTCTTGTAAACACTCTAGTTTCATCTTATTCCAACCAAAGTGAACTATTCATAGTTCCTTGAATGCATCAAATTCTTTCTTCCACTACTTTCCCAACCTCTGCCTTCAATCTACTCATCTTTCACAATTTATTCTAATCATCACTTCCTTAGAGAATCTCTCATATTGAGGATAAGGTATGCCCTCCTTAGTTACATGCTCCTATATGTAAACATTAGGCTCCGTTTTGATTGATTCTTTAATGTCTAGTTCCCTGAGACACATCTTCTCCATGAGAATAGCCACCAATACTTTCTATTAACAGCTGAATTCTTAGCATGACACCTAATAAGTGTACAATAAATATTTCACTGAATGAAGTAAAGAATAAAATTAAGTACTACATACAAAAGCTCAGTCCACACGTATGCTATTTTAACTCTATGGTAATCAAACTTTTGCAAGTTGAGTATACTAAAACAAATGTCCCAAATACATTTTAAGATTAAACTGTTAACTTATTTCTTCACTATTTTAAGTATTAAATACAATATATTTCTGTAATACCATGAACATAACCCTGCTTTTGATGACAGTAGGTCCATATATGAAGTCAGTTTCTTATTAATCTGATAACTGCTTTATGTAGCTATGACTAAGCCATGAAAATAAATGTTTATTTACTGAAACTTAGTAAGTGCCAAAGATAAAAAAATACCTTCAAATAAACCCACCTAAAAATTAATGAGTTAAGCTAGCAGGCTACAAGTGGGAGCTCTGGTAGCATAGTGGCTAAAGCACTTGACTGCTAACCAGAAGGCTGGCGGTTCAAACCCACCAGCCACTCCTCGGAAGGAAGGTTGGGCAATCCTACTTCCGTAGTGATACTGCCTCGGAAACCCAAGGAGGGGTCGCTATGAGTCGGGGCCGACTCGACGGCACATAACAACAACAACAACAAGCAGGCTACAAAGATAAACGCATGAACACAGAGAACATCAGAAAGGACAAAAGCTACAATTTTGGAAGGGCAAAGCAGAAAGATGAGTCATAATTGACATGGCAAATGCAAATTCTAAGCTGAGATTAGAGAGAACTGAGGGGAAAAAAATCCAATTTATAAAACAATCCTCAAAAAACTGAGAAAATGGTAGGATAAGATACCTCTGGAAATGCGAAGAGGCTCAAACAAAGAGAATTTTATTTATATGAACTAAAGAAGTGATATTCCTGATCCTCCTCCCAATTTTGCAATACTGGGAGCTGGCTGCTTCAACTTCTAGGATTCAGGACTCTTAGAAGACTGTAGAGACCAAGTGAAAGTGGATATTGGACTGAAAATAGAGGGATGAGGTGATTAACAAGCATGCTAAATGTTGATATCCCTGCCCCCTAGCCCTTCTACCCACTAAATTCCCAGAAAATTGTTGGCTAGATCTAAACCCTTCAAGAAACAGACTTGAAAAATTCTTCTTGGGAACCTGACAAGCCTTGAGGAGAACATCTGAAGATACTGACACTAGGGAATCCCTAAATGGTAAACACAGAACACTCTACAACAAAGCTTAAACTCAATAACTATCCACATACTCAAAGGTTTCCAATCAAGATTTTAATTTCTCTCTTTAAAAGATAAAAAGATTATTAAATTATTCTTCTAATTCCCATTTTTACCTCAACTTTTAATCATACATAGACAATTAAGGATCATCTGATGAAAGCCTATAACATGATTAATAAACAGTGTAGTACCCAAGGCACTTGACTGCTAACCAGAAGGCTGGCGGTTCAAACCCACCAGCCACTCCTCAGAAGGTAGGTTGGGCAATCTACTTCCGTAGTGATACTGCCTTGGAAACCCAAGGAGGGGTCGCTATGAGTTGGGTCTGACTCGACGGCACATAACAACAACAACAACAACAAGCAAACTTAAAAAGAAACCTGAGGTTAATAGATTATACAGGAAGAAGAAAAAATTTTTTTAAAAAATGAAATATTTTGAGGGATAAGATAAAACATCCATGAACAAAGAAAACTACTCAAACCACTGTCACTGAGTCAATTCTGACTCAAAGCGACCCTAAAGAACAGAATAAAACTGTCCCATATGATTCCTAAGGTTGCAAAACTTTACGGAAGTAGACAGCTACATCTTACTCCCTCAGAACTGCTGGTGGGTTTTACCCAACAACCGCAGAATATTTAACCACTGTGCCAGCAGGTTTCTTCAATTGGTATAAAGTGGTATACAATGTGGCCCAACATGATTAGTGTCACAGAAGGCTAAGGTCTCTGCATGAACTGTTGAACGGAAAACAAGTTTGCTATGTAAAGCACACACAGCACAATAAAAAAAGATGAAAAAAAATTAAAAAAAAAGGTTATGGTCTTTTTTAACCAATATCTTAAGAAGAGCATTCTGATTTCCACAGTCTGCAATGAAGGAAAACATACTATACTGCCCAAATATGAAAAATTATCCCATCAATATATATCTATGCATGGATAAACAATCTCTGGAAGGTTACATGATTACAATGGGTCTCTCAGTGGACGGGCACTGGATAGTTGGGAGGAGACTAACTTTACATTGTTCATCTTTTTGAACTCTTCACACGTTCCCTTTTTAATACGAACAAATATTGTCTATTAAACAACAATAAACTATTTTTGTAACCAAAAACAGTTACAAATGCACATACCTTTTGGTTCAGCAAGGAATTATATTTTAGACTCATTTTTGTATAAAATTATAAATGTACCAGAGTTTTCATTGTACCATTAATAATAAAAGACTAGGAAAAAACCCAAAGGTCTACCAACAGGGGAGGTGACTGATAAAATAAATTACTTAAATCAAAACACTGTGTAATCAGAGCAGAGTATTTTTCAAAATCTGAGTAACATCTTGCTACTCTTCTCTTTAGAAAATGAATTTCCATTACACAGACTGTAAATTCAAACTCTTAGGATGTGCTTTATGGTCTTGCATGATCTATCAAGCTAACTACCTTCCCACCTCTCTGATCTCTTCACCTATAAATCTCATCTTTGCTCCCTCTACCAGACATTCAAGCATGCTAGCCGTACTTCCACCCTTAGAATCTTTGCATTAATTTATTTATGGCTTGGGACACTCCTCCCCACATAATCAAGTTGCTCAACTCTTTAAAATCTAATCTCAAATACTGCCTTCTTAATGCCACCCTATTTCATTTGATCCCTCTCACCACCATCTGTACCCCTAACTCCCCATACCCTACTCTATTTTCTTCCACAGCACTTGTCAACACACTATAATTATCTTATTTACTACATTATTATATTATTATATTATATTATATTATTCTAATATTCTTGCCTCCTAACACTAAAATGTAAGCTCCATGAGCAGAGAATTCTGTTTTGTTCACTGATATGGAATCCTAAGTTAGCATGCAGTAAGCATTCAATAAACACTAATGGCTGTTGTTTTACAACAATATTTTCACTAAAATGATTTTGTCACCTTAAAGATTCAGCTCTGATCAAAAATATTTATAAACAGACAGTTCACAATAAACACGAGGGACTACATAAATTTATATCTGAAGATTAACAATGGTTTTCCACTTTTAGAAGTTTTAACTTATTTAGGTTTATTTCCAGGTCAAATTGACTTGTTTATGTAAAACAGCTTCCTCTGCTTCTTGCAAGCAATATTGATTTCACTCTTACCACTCTTTATGTGAGGACTATCATGAGGCTATATGATATTTACAATCCCTTAAACTAGTAAAATCTCATTACTCTGTAATAGTAAAAGAAATTTTGAAGCCTGTTTGTTGCACCCTAGGGTTAGAGCTTGAAACTTTTAATCCCTGATAATCATGGCATCCCAAAATCACAGAATCTTAGAAGGTTTATGCTAATTTATATAAGATACTACAGTCAAACCCTCTGAATTTCCCCACCTGTCATCCTTAAATATATGTGCTCCTGGAGATTTCTATAAGGTACATCTGTTCTAAGAGGATACATGAAAGGAAGAGAATCTGAAAAGGCAAGGTCCAAGAAGACTGTTTACTCAGAAGGGAAAATTATTACATCAAGGGTTATCTAGGTCAGAATAATTTACCACAGACAAATCATACATATATTGAAAATTATTTTATACGCTTTAATTCTTACAAACATAGTCTATAGAAAATAAATTAGTATTACCTCTACTATCATCCATTTCACCATCCCTTGAATGCTCTGACTGGATGTCTGGAGGGGTCTGAAGGACAGCCACGCTATTCTGATTTATAATCTTCAATTTCAACTTTGGTTTTGACCGTTTTCTTCTTGGAACTGTAACTGTGAGGCTCTGTAACTGACTCATCCCTGATTCAGTCAAACAAACACCATCCTGTGTGTAGGTTTTGGGTGGATCTAAAAATTACAGAATTCCAAGAATTCAAATGAAAACTTTCATTTTAAATTTGACTGATAAATTGATTATCACTCCAAAACACACATATCAGAGGAATGTGACTTTTATAAAGCGGTTATCCTTAACTGGGCACTGAAGAGTTAATTATTTAAGAATAATTGGGTCAACCTAGGTATCTGAAGAATGGATAACCAAACTATGGTACATACACACAATGGAATACTATGCAACCCTAAAGAGTAACGTAGAACCTGCAAAACATTAGATGAACTTGGAGGACATAGCTATGCTGAGTGAAAGAAGACAATCACAGAAGGACAAATATTGTATTAGTCTGTTATTTAAAAAGTCAAGGAACGGTTTTTATATGGAAGGAAATTTTCTTTGTTGGTTACCAGGATGGGAGGGATGGGTAGGGAACACTGTAGACAGAGAGATACAAGTATTGATTTGGATGAAGAGAAGGGCAATGTACCACATATGAGTGATCAACACGGTGGCACTGAGGAAAAGGAAGACATAGACAGGTACATGGGAGGTACAGACAACAATGATGAACCCTTTTGCACTTACAGTATACTGTGTTGTCAGTGAAGGCAAACATGGATATAGAGGTGGATAAATGGGTGGATAGGCTGAACTATTAGGTATATCTATGCAGGGGATAGCATGCCCAAGACCATGTATAGGGTTGGCAGAAAATGTTTCTCCAAGTGTATTTGTATGTTCTGTAAGAATTCCCAGGTATATAGTAAAGCTAGCAAGGGTAAGGTTGTAGTCACTTCTTGGGCACAGCCAGCTACCCGGAGGGAATGAGTAGTTGGACCTGTGGGCTTGGGACCATAGTCGCAGGGGACACCAAGCTCAATTGGCATAACATACTACACAAAACAATTTTCCATCTCCTACTTTGGCAAGTAGCAACTAGGATCTAAAAAGCTTGCAAGCAGCCATTTAGATGGAATGACGGGTCCTTCTTTGTTCAGAGCAAAGAAGAATGAAGAAAACCAGAGACTCATGGAAACAATTAGTCCAAGCGACTGGCACACCATGCAATCCTCAGCCTATATGACTATGAAACCAAAAAACTAGACAGTGCCCACCTACCACTGTCAGCCACTCAGAGGGGCATGTAGGTAGGAGATCCTGCATAGAGTGGGAGAACAATGTGGAACAAAACTCAAAGTCACTTAAAAAAAAAAAGAAAAGGACCAGGTTTGCTGGTCTCATAGAGCCTAATGGAACCACTGAGACTACAGCCCTTATTTACCCTTCAGGTCTAGATGTGAACCCATACCTGTGGCTTCCAGCCAAACAAAAGACAGGCATATGAGTTGAACATTATTAGGTAGATACATTCCTTAGAGAGAACAATCATGGGAAAATAGAAGGGCTGTGTATACACAGGGACATAGCTCAGGAGGCAGGAGTGCATGGAGGGATGGACATAAGGAGGAGGTAACTATGGGGAGGAAGTGGAAGGGGAGCTGTTGCAGTGTGGTAAATTGTAGTCAATGTCATAAGACAAAGTGTATGTGAGCTGCTGTATGGAAAGTGAATTTGCTCTGTAAACTTTCACCCAAATCACAATAAAAAAAAAAAAAAAGAAGAAGAATTTGGTACTATTATTTGAGAATAATTAACTTGACAGTGTTCAATTAAAACCAAGACTGAGATCTAAATGGTCAAATTTTTGGATTATAAGCAGAAATGTTTTATGTTTTTTTAAAAATTGCTTCCTCACACTTCTATTTTCATGTATTAATATAAAGATTGAGAGAGAAAGCAATGAAGCTAAAAGCAATGCTTTAGTTACTCCACTATAAGTCCTTTTACTAGAATATCCTTTCAGGTTAAAAGAATCATAAGAATACTACAGAAATCAATTTGAAGACCAAAGTAACAATATAATCTCTTATAGGGAGTGGTGGCAAATAAGTAGATATCCTACAGATATAAATTTTAAATGCATAAATATGCCATTCATTAGAATAATTTTTATACTACTGAAATGTTTTTACATTAAATGATATTAGATGCAAGTAGGTAAAGGAATGACTGGTTGGTAAAAGTATCACATTTGAATATCATTCCAGGCTGATCTATTATAAAGTAACAGTAACAAACTGAATTAATTCTAAATGAATCAGTATGCTTGCTAACTCACTATTATTCCTGCTAACCAACAACAAAGCACAGTAATATACTAATGAAATGAGAAGAAGAACAGCATTAATGGTTACTCTAAAGCTATTATTTTTATTGTCAATTTCCTGAAATTTGTAAGAATATAGTCCCTCTAAAAATGGACAAAATTAACATCTTATTTAGATTAAAGACCTATACATTGAAGACAGGTTTCACATAGCATATGGCAAGTCAACTACATAAAAATTAACCATTTATATACTTTTTGTAAAGAATAAACAAATAAAGCATTTCAGATTTTACCTAGCTCTTTTACTTTTGTAACAATTTGTGCTACAAGTGACGATTCACAGCAGTCTGAGGAAGGCACTGAAATGGGGAAAAAAAAAAAAAGTTAAGCAATTTTTTTTCCAGAAAAGGTAAAGCATATTTAAAGATTAACATATGAATGAAATTTCTATTTCTGTATCCCATTTCATTAAAACAAATGCTTGAATACGAAATATTGTTAAAAGCTATCTTTACAACAAGGAGGTTTCATATAATGAAGAAAATAATTAAATCAGGGAGGAAAAACTGGCAAAGATAAACAATCAGTGTACTGGATTATACACAGGATTATTTAATAATAAAATACTGCTGATACCCAGAGGGCTTGGGACCATGGTCATAGGGGACATCAAGCTCAACTGGCATAACATACTAAACAAAAACATTGTTTCGCATTCTACTTTAGTGAGTAGCAACTGAGATCTTAAAAGCTTGCAAGCCACCAAGATGGGGTCAGAGCAAAGCATGAAGAAAACCAAAGACGCATGGCAACAATTAGTCCAAAGAACTGGTAGACCATGCGATCCTCAGCCTATATGACCATGAGACCAGAATAACCAGATGTTATTGGGCTATCACTCTCAAACACTTGGAGGGGGATCTATGTAGAAGATCTTGGATAAAGTGGGAGAACAATGTGGAGCAAAACTCAAAATTATTTAAAAAAAAAAAAAAAAAAAAAAGACCAGGCTTTGCTGGTCTGATAGAGCCTGGTGAAACCCCTAAGACTATGGCCCCTAGCTGCCCCTCAGGTCTAGATTTGAACTTCTGTGGCTTCCAGCCAAATAAAAGACTGGTATATGAACTGAACATTTACAACAGGTGGATACACTTCTTGGAGAGATCAATCATGGGAGAACAGAAGGACAGTGCATGCACAGGGAGACTGCTTAGGGAACAGGAGTGCATGGGAAGGAAGGACGAAAGGAAGAGGTAACTACTGGGTGGATGTGGGAAGGGACTGTTGCATTGTGAGAAATTGCAGTCAATGTCCTGAGACAAAATGTATATGAACTGCTGTATGGAAAATGAAATTGCTCTGTAAACTTTCACCCAAATCACAATTAAAAAAAAAAAAAAAAAATACTGCTGACAACTATAAGATCATGTGCTCTGAAAATAAAATTATATTTCATATCTAAAATGCATGCTTCATTTACTTAAGTAAATGATTTTAATATATAAAGTTGTAGTAAGAAGAATTAATTTATATAACATTTTTTTATATAAAATATTTGTAAAAATAGTAATTTCTCAAAAAGGAAAAAAAAATGAGAGTAAAAACCACTCATAGCAATAGTGAACTGTAAGAGTGTGGATACTATTTAATTATTCTCTTACCATTTGATGTAGGCATATAGGGTCTGCACATGCTACAATCAAAACCAATGTCGGCTACATTTTCCACTTCCTCCTCAGTATTTAAGTTTTGACAAACTGCATGCATCCATCTAAAAAAAAAATTCGTACATTTTAAAAAAGCTGAGTATATGGAGTACGGTTTCCTTTTAAAAACTGTAGTAAGAGTTGATAGTCTTCACACTTAAAGCTCTTAAGCCTCACATGTTCCTAATACCTAGTTCATCTCACCCTTTTCTCCCAAGTACCTTTCTCCTCCAATTACTCATAAAACTTTCAAACGACAGGAAAGGAAAAAAAAAAAAAAAAAGAAAATGAAAACAGGTACTAGGTAGGAAGCAAAAGCACATTACATAAGTAGGATAAGATAATTATTTTATGATCTTATAATGAGTATGTCAAAGACAGCAAGTACACTAACCAAACTAAACCAAACTCACTGCCACTGAGTCGTTTCCAGCTCACAGCGACCCCCCCATTTGCTTTCTGAGGCTATAAATCTTTATGGAAGTAGATCACCCCATCTTCCTTCTGCAGAGTGGCTGGTGGGTTTGAAACACTTACCATCCAGTTAGCAGTCAAGTGCCTTATCCATTACACCACCAGAGCGCCTTAGCAAGTACACTAGTTAGCGCAATTAGAAAGGTACTCAGAATGCAAATGGCACAATGCACATGTAGTCTATATGTTGCATCTACTTCGGAGTAGATATAACTCACTTAACTGACTCTGAATGGTAATTAGGAAATATAAATAAACAGTTGCTTGCCTCAGAATAAAGAATTGGTAGGCAAAATCCTAAGAAACATCAACTACTTATGATAATTAATACTGAATATTATATGTATAGTACTTAACAGTAATATACTATCAAATCCAAAGAAAACAATATTGATTTTGAAGCTGCACATATATTAATTGGGCAGGCAGGAGCTGATCTTAGCTCTAAGAATTAGAGCTTTAAGAAAAAATAATTTAGGAAAATAAAGTGTATGAGATCTTTTTTATAAACTAATAAATGATTGGGAAATCCTTCACAAAAAAATGCATATATCCAAGCAGTAATTAATTCTGCATCTAATTTCAAAAGATGCGTAAATTCTCAAAAAGGTCCCAGTTAAAAAACTTTGATCTGGGATTGAGAATCAAAAGAAAAGATCACTTCTGTAAGTTTCTAGGCAACTAAAAACCTGAAAAGCAAAAATTTTGTTTCTCAAGTTTATGACCTAGTAAAGTTATTTTCCAATTTCCTTTTGGTACATTAGAAAGACAAAAGATTGCAAAAGATTAAAACAAACAAACCAAAAAAATCACAATACCTATCACATTGTCTACACTGCAGAATAAGATCATCTTCTCTGTAATTTCGGTAGCAGACTGGGCATGAAGACAAACTTGCACAAGGAGCACACTGTGTGTAATTGTTTTGCCATTCACATCTTAGACCTGGAGATGTTGCTCCACAGTGTCGGCACCAAACGCACCTGAAATCCAAACACCCCCCACAGAAGTCTCAATTTTATTTACTTATTTAGTTCCTGTAATTTAAAGAAGCTACATATGAACAGGATAGAGGAAAATTATTTAAAGCATATTTGATTTTGATTAGTGATATCCACCAGAATAAACATGTATTATGGAATTAAACAGATTTAACTAATTTTTAAAACCAAAGTGATGTGGGAAAGTTCTGAACTTAAAAGACTAACAACAGAAATGTAAATCCTAGAGTACCATTTGCACTTCCAGCCTCCTTTGGGAACTGTCTGCAATGGAGGATCTAGGCAGTAGGTGTGATAACTTATGTCACAATCATCACAAAGAAGGAGTCTTCCTGGGTCAGTAGCCTTCCCACAGGCCTCACATACAGTGCATTCGAGACACCTCCAACCTTTGCTAAGAACAACTTTAGTGATCTGTAAAAGAAACAACCAATCCATATGATTTATACATTAACCTATACCTTATTTTGCAGGGTCAATTATACTATATAAATGAATATGGTGCTTATCTACCTGAAGTAGATCAGTGACAAACAACTAACATTTATGGAGCCTGAAGCTGGTATAGGCATGTTCATATATTTTAAGAATTTACCTATTGAGAATAATAGAAAATGATATATATATTTAATGCTTCCCCCCTCACTCTATATAACTACCTTGTGTTGTGGATTTTATGTCCATATTATAGATAAATAACTGACATTTAACCAAGTAACATGCCCCATTACTGTTGATAAAGGATTTGAAAATACATCAATAGGGTCTCCATCTCCATTTCCATGAATTCTATGCTCCTAAAATATGTGTACCTGGCATAAAGACTTGTATAGTAAAATCAATGTGAACAATAATAGAAAAAAATATTTAAAAAATTAAGGTAAAATAAGAGTTCTCAAAAATATTTTATGATCTTGGAGGATTTTGGGCAATGAAGGTGGGACTTCTGAAATTCACCTTCACTCCTCTTTACTTTCCTCAACCTCAAGGCTATTTGTAGAAAAGTTTGTGGAAAAGTTGAGAATCTCTATACTGCCTGTTAAGTTCCTCAAAGATAGCCACATCATGTAATATTAATAATGTAAAACCTACTTCTTTAAGTTCTCAAAATAAATAAATAAAATAAAATAAAACTAGAGTCTATTAGGCAGAAAAGACCACAATATTCACGTTATAATGAAACAGGAAGTAATCAAGGTAGAGATGAAAATCTGAATTTTCATGAATTCAGATCATGAAGAGTAAGAGAGCCTAAAATCTACAGGACAGGAAAATTAAGAAGTTAAATATAAAAGAACAACTATCACAACGGCATCAAACTTCCTAACTATGGATTCTAGGAGACAGTAGAGTAATAGCTTTCAAATTCTACAGGAAAAAAATTCTTCAAAATATAATTCTTAGCTAAGCAAGCAATGAAATGTGAAGACAGAATATCTTTTTAAATATAAAGACTCAAAACTCAGAACCCACAAACTCCTTCAATTATTTAAAGATATGTGGAACAAAAAATGAAGGTTTATCCCAAAACGGAAGACATAGGCTCCAGAAAACAATGAATCCAACAAAGTTATCAGTTAAGGGAACCTTAAGGATAAGAGACAACAGACCTTAGAAGTCACTGGCACAAAATAGAATAATATGAGGAGGAGTCTAAGACAAAGTAAATTTGTTCCCAGAAAAAAGGGTCTTAACAGGAAAAAAAAAAAAAAGTGATATGGAAGTATTTCCACATCTTGTATGCTGGTAAAAACAAACAATAAAAACCAAGAGAGGTCACTAAAGATTATTTTCTTCTTGCTTTTAAAACTCCAATGAAAAACAAAAAAAAAGTCATAGCATAGTATTTAGGTCTACAGTAAACATTTACTGAGTCATAACCAGAATTGTTTATTGTTGTTGTTATGTGCCATCGAGTCAGACCCGACTCATAGTGACCCCTCCTTGGGTTTCTGAGGCAGTATCACTATGGAAGTAGATTGCCCCATCTTCTTCCTGAGGAGTGGCTGGTGGGTTTGAACCGCCAGCCTTCTTATTAGCAGTCAAGTACCTTAGGCATTATGCTACCAGAGCTCCCAAATTGTTTATTAATTAAGCTAAATGTAATAATATAACTATATTGGGAGAATGCTGGGAGAAGGGCGTGGTGTGTATTTTAAGAGTTAAATCAGCATTTACCTGAAAGCAAGAAGTTAACAAAAAGTAACAATGATAAAGAAGCAACACCAGCATATTTATTTATTATTAAAAACAGGTGGTAGACCACATTTGGCCCACAGGCCATCATTTCTCAACCTCTAGCTTAGAGGAAAGACAAGATGATCTGAATACAAAGTAGGAGACAGATTCATGAATTTACTAGTAGAATTTTTTTTTTAAATATATCTTCATTTCTGCTAAATCAAGTGTTCTTTTTTCACAGAAACCCTCAAATTACTTTAGTTTACATTTAACACATTACTTACTATCTGGTCTTTATGTTCACCCCCATGGAAACTGCTCAAGCATGTCGGTCAAGACTTTCTCGCCCCTAAATCTAACTGACACTAGGTTTTGTCTTACTTAACTTCTCTGCAGTTCTTTAACACTTGAACTATGTTTCCCCCTTTGAAAGTACCTGTTTCACATTTTGTCTTATTGCCCTGATTTAGTCTTATTTGTTAAAAGTTCTTGCAAGTAAGGTATTATGTAGAGGTCCATTCACAGTACCATGTCAAAGTTGTGATAGATGTATTAGTCCATAATGCATACCTATTTCAACTACAATGGAGTAACTGTAAACAGACTTTTCGCCAATCATTTAAAAGAAAAAAAAAAAACTGACAAAAATATATATTTAAAAAAAACACCTGTTTTTAGACATTGGCCAAGGGGCAGTATAGGACTGTGATCTCTGGGAGGAGGAATATTTTCCAGACTGCTGCCCAAACAGGGAAAACGCCAGCAGAATACAACGATCCCACTAAGTTTAGGAAACATGATGGAGTTCAGGAAAGGCAAGGCAGCTGGAATTTGCAGGACAGAGTACTGGAAAGGAAGGACGAATGCAGAGTAAAAGCTCCAGAGATCCATATAGGGGTCCCTTTGAGTCTTTGGCTGAACACTAAGCTAATTATCTATGAACACAAAAACAAGGTGTTATGGCTAGGGGAGAAAACTGTTACTGGGAAACTAAGATTAACAACTACTTAAGTATACATAGAGCAAAAAAGACTATTAAACAGGGGGAGAGAAGAGGATATTTGGTAGAGACCCCACAAAAGGTCATCCCTCTTGGATACAGAGTTAAACTAGCCCTAGAATAGCAGTTTATCAAAGTCTGGTCTGTGGAATCTCTGTGGATCTATAAGACTAAAACTATTTTTATACAAATACCAAGATGTTACTTGTACTTTTCCCTGTCATTCACTCCTAATTATATAGTTGTGTTTTCTAGAGGCTATATGATGCATAATAGTATTGCATTTTAATGTCATATAAACTGCTTGTACATGCTTGTGTTTCAAAATTTTGTCAGTTTTAATTTCTAAAATGATAAATGTGAATAGGTATAATCCTTATAAACAAAAACTCTTTGGATCCTCAATAACTTTTGAGTATAAAAAGGTTCCATGACCAAAAAAGTTTGAGAATAGCTACTTTAGAATAAAGGATCTCTATAATTGGTTCAGAAAGCTTAAAAAGAGATTTCAAAAGAATCAAGTTTATCCACAAACAATTTACCTGCAAGAACAAAAAGTCTTTTAAGAAAAAAAAGTTCAAATATATACTATTACAATGGCCACTGTTCAACTGAAAATTACTAGATGTACAAAGAAGAAAGCATAACTTAATGCTGGAAATTAGATAATACAATCAGAAATGACAGAGATGATGAAATTAGCAGGAAAAAAAGCTGTAAATCAGCTACTATATATATCCAAATATACATAGTGTATATATATATATATAAAAATACATCCAAAATTTAGAGGGAAACAAAACCACAATGAACAATAAAATTAAATGATCAAGAGAGGGAAAAAACAAAACAAAACAAATAACAACAAAGTATCAGTAACCTATGGGATATTATCATTACATACCTACACACTTGAGATTCTAGAAAGGTGATGGTAGTGGTGGGGGACTTGGGAACAGAACAAAATTAAAGAAATAATGGCCAAAAATTACCCAAAATTGAACAAAAATAGTATCAACCCACTAACTCAAGAAACCTAACAAATCAGGATAAACAACAAAGAAAACCTCACAGGGTACATTGTAACCAAACTACTGAAAACCAAAGTTAAAGAGAAAATCTTAATATACCTATGGTCAGCTGTTCTTTCACAAAGGGCCAAAATCCATTAAATGAGGAAGGGACAGTCTCTTTCACAAATGATGCCAGAAAAAAACTGGATACCCATTTGCAGAAAAATGAAACAAGATCCATACCTTACACCATACACAAAAACTAACTCCAGATAGATCAAAGACTTAAATGTGAAAAACCTAAATCTATAAAATTCATCAAAGAGAAAACAGGGGCAAATTTCAGGGCCCCAACTTATGGCATAAATAGACTGTCAAGCATAACCCAAAATGCACAAATAGCTGAAGATAAACTAGATAATTAGGATCTTCTAAAAATTAAATTCTCATGTGCATTGAAAGACTTCTCCAAAAGGGTAAAAAGGGAACCTATAGAATGGGAACAAATATCTGGCAATGACATACATATCAGACAAAAGACTCATCTCTAAAATTTATAGAAAACTCCAACACCTCAATATTAAAAAGACAAACAATCCAATTAAAAAATGAGCAGAAGACACAAACAGACACTTCACCAAAGAGGAGATTCAGGCAGCCAACAAACACATGAAGAAATGTTCATGATCATTAGCCATTAGAGAGATGCAAATCAAAACAACAATGAGATACCATCTCACTCCAGCATTAATACCAGAAAATAACAAATGCTGATGAGGATGTAGAGAGATTGGGACTCTCATACACTGCTGGTGGGACTGTAAAAGGATATAACCACTGTGGAAAATGATATGGTGATTCCTTAAAAAGTTGAAATTAGAAATACCATTTGATCCAGCAATCCCATTACTATGTATATATCCTAAAGAGGTGAGAGCCAGGCCAAAATAGATACATGTACATTCATGGTCATAGCTGCACTTCACAAGCTAAGTGCTCATCAACAGAAGACTGGATAACCAAACTCTGGCGCATACACACAACTGACTAGTATGCAACACCAAAGAATAATGTAGAATCTGCAAAAGACCACATAATGTGGATGAACTTGGAAGACATTATGCTGAGTGAAATAAGTCAGTCACAGAAAGACAAATATTGTATTTGTCCACTATTGTAAAAAGTCAAGGAAAGGTTTACATATGGAAGATTATAAGTGGTTACCAGGGGTAGAAAGGAGGGGACAAGGGGAAGCTTTTGTTTACAGGGAGTTGCGGTTATGTGGTGGTGGAGTATTTAGGAAAAAGACAGCAATAATGGTGGTACAACATGAAAAATGTCATCAATGTCCCTGAGCTGTAAATGTGGAAGTTGTTATGTTGGCAAATGTGTTGTTGTATATGTTTTCACCACAATAAAAGTGGGTGGGGGAGGAAAGAGAAAATCTTAAAAGCAGCTGTAAAAAAACTGTCATGCTGTATATAGAAAAAAAACAGAAACAATGCAAGCCAGAAGATAACAGAATGACATTTTCAAAGTTTTGGGGAAAGGGACACAGTCAAGTTAAATATTATATCTAGCAAAAATGTCCTTCAAAAACAGTAAAGGCAAAGTAAAAATATTTTAGGACAAACAAAAGTTGAGACAATTCACATATCTCTAGTGTATTTCCAGACATTCCTATTTCCCCCTATAAATTGTAAGTGCTTTTAAAAAAAGGAAAGTTGATTTAGATTCCTCACAGAATTTACCATAATTTTTCAGAGGAGATCAACAAATTACATTGTTTTAAAAATTTAGTGATAAGTTACAGTATTCTATATTGCCCAAATGGTATTAGTGATATGTTGTTGTTATGTGCCATCGAGTCAGACCTGACTCATAGCGACCCCTCCTTGGGTTTCCGAGGCAGTATCACTACGGAAGTAGGATTGCCCAACCTTCCTTCCGAGGAGTGGCTAGCGGGTTTGAACCGCCAGCCGTCTGGTTAGCAGTCAAGTGCCTGAGCCACTATGCTACCAGAGCTCCCATTAGTGATATTAGTGATATAGTCAGAACTAAATGTAGTTAGAAAATCTGGTATTTAAATTCTTGATCAGCTATTTCCTAGCTATTTGATATTGCACAAATTTATCTTAACTAACCTACATGTCATTGACCTCACTCATAAAATAGGATTTTAGAAACTGTTGGATTAAAAGAAGTAACAAAAATTCTGAGCTTAACTCTTAAATCTTCATTCACCTACTAAAGCCTCCTCCAATTTTTAGGCAAGGAATTTTAAGGTATCAGTTTGGCCCATGAAGTTTATACTCTTATCTTCAAAGGCTTTTTTTCAATTTCTCAGATCACTAAATATTCTAAAAATAAATACTAATTTTAAAAATAAAAAAAACCTAAAATGTAGGATATAAAGACACAATAGTTCATCTTGTACTATGTATAATTCTACTTTTAAAATTGATTTTATATGTCTTTTTTTTCTCAATATACTGTGGGCAATTGATTCTTAAGAACTCACTGCCATGGAATTGGATCTGACTCATAGCAACCCCTCCTTGGGTTTCCGAGGTGGTATCACTATGGAAGTACATTGCCCAACCTTCCTTCCAAGGAATGACTGGTGGGTTTGAACCCCCAGCCTTCTGGTTAGCAGTCAAATGCCTTAGGCACTACACCATCAGAGCTAATTGATTATTAGACTATATAAATTTACAAAAAATGACTGCACAATTATTCTATTTTGGATCGATAATTGCTATTTTTCTTATTAATTCTGAAAATCACAATGACTTACGTACCTTAGGAAAGAATCACTAGTGTAGAGAACAACAAAGAATTGCTAAGGGGGCATCTATGCCAACATCTTGAGTAAATCAATGATATAATACAGGGTATGTGAGGAACAGGATACTAAAACTAAAACCACTGCTACTGTGTCAATTTCAAGGCATCATGACCCTATAGGACAAAGTAGAACTGCCCTATAGCGTTTCCAAGGCTATAAATCTTTATAGAAGCTCACTGCCTCATCTTTCTCTTGTGGAGTACGTGGTGGGTTCGAACTGCTGACCTTTTGGTTAGCACCTGAATGCCTAATCACTGTGGCACCAGAGCTCCTTTGGGGCAGGATAGAAAAGGATAAAAACTGCTTTTAAATTCAGGATGATTGTTCACCATATAAGCAAATGAATTACTATTTTAACACATACACTTGATTGTACAACAGAACCCATGATGTACAGCTATACCTACATGCTTATATTCAGGGGCCATTTGTTATTCTGTTCAAATATAAAAAAGTTTTATTAATGTCATAGCCTGAGCTCTTGGGACATGTTCACATTTGAATACCAAAAACCAAAACCAAAGTCAAAAAGCACAAGATTAACTATCTGTAAGGCTCCTCAGTAAGTTTCTAGTCTGAAACCCATGAAATTGAGAACTACTGGCTATGTTTACTGAATTTCCTCTCTTTAGCTAAAGGAGAAAATAACCTTTCATATAATGGGTGAGAGTGAGAAGAGTGAAAGGGGACCAGAATGGGCTAATGAATTTTAACTAAGTAGTTGACCTTAACTTTTGTAATCAACAGACAAAATGAACCAACTAAACCTCATTCCATTAAAAAATAATAGGGCTATACTGTCTTTTAAATTAAATTCATGCTTTCTTATACTTTACTTTTTCAAGACAATGGTAGGGTAACCAGTACAATTTAAGATCAGAAAATTAATTTCTGAGGAATTAATTTTTTACGGTAATAAACACTTTAGATGCAAGATTTAAAATATTTAACAAGTCACATACATATAATAATCATAAAAATATTAATTATAAACACTGGAAGCAGCATGTTACTAATTAAATAAAAATTTAATAATTTTTGTGAACTCATTTAAATTAAGGGTATTTACCTTAATACTGACACAGTATGGATGGTAACACTGACCACATTGGGAACAGGCAAGTAATCTTCCCTCTGCTCCTTGGCCAAAACTTCCACAAACTACACACATATCCTGAAGTAAAGAACAAATGAACATGTTTTATGCTGGAGAGACTAAACTAAGAATATACAAATTTTGTTTTTAAAATACTTTCTTAGCTAATACATTACTATAGCTAAATATTAGATGACTTCTACACACATGAGAAAAATAGAACTGGGCAAGGAGAAATTCAAAGGTAGAAAATAGTAAATAAATTCAAACCTGATGCAAAGTGAACTTGTCAGTACTAGAAAACAAAACAACTGTATTGTGCATAGAGTTTTCTTCTTCATCCTTATTTGATGAAATATCTGCAGTAGACACCTATGAAAAGTGAAATACACAAAACACTTATTTTTCACTTATACTATATTGAAACCAGAAAGCTTGAGAAAATTTGTATTCAAAATAGAATGTTTGCCAAGGTCAGTGCTAACAATTCCAAACTGGCTTATTAATGCCAAGATACTACCATAAAACTTTTAAGTCAAAATATTTTTTTATTCACCTAATTGTCTTCAGAGTTCCAGTCTTATAGAAGAGGAAGTAATGGGAAAAATATAAACCTGCCTTTAGTAAGACTTCATTACTCAGAAATTCTAATCAAGAAACCACAAAATTATGTATTTTTAAATAACATGAGTGTTCCGAGTTTGTGCGTTTGTAAATAAAACTCTATTTATGTGATACTTTAGAACTATCCTATATGGTAGATAGGTGGTTATTGATATCTGTGATATGGCTAGCCCAAACTGAAATGTGATTTCAAAGACTCAGTACAAGGGAAAAAAAGGAATGTCAAGTATCTCATTAATAGTATTTTATGTATTAAATGTTGAAACAACAATGTTTTAGATATATTGGGTTGTGTGACATGCATTAAAATTAACTTCACCTGTTTTCTTTCCTTTTTAAACATGGCTATTCCAGACCAAGCCACATGCCTTTAAGTCAGTTCTGACACGTGGCGATTCCATGTGTGCCAGAGTAGAACTGTGCACCATAAAGTTTTCAACTATTGATTTTTGGAAGTAGATCACCAGGTCTTTGTCCCAAAGTGCCTCTGGGTGGATTCAAACTACCAACTTTCAGTTAGCCAAGCACTTAACCATTTGTACCACATCAACATGGCTATTAGGAAGGTTTACATGCATATGTGGCTCACAATGTATTTTTAGTAAATAGCAATGATTATTATTACTTTGAATCAACTATCAAAATTTCAGTATCATCCAAACAATGATCAAGCAGAGATGTTCATTTCTGGACTTGGTTATATTTGACCAAATCAAGTAAGAATCTATTAGCTTGTTAATAATTATTTATAGAATGCAATTTTAAAAAGTTCCAAATTAGACACTATAAAAGAACAGAAGGTCAAAAATAAAAAAAATATGACCTGCTCCTTTTCCCTTAAAATGCTTACAATCTATCCTGGAAGAACAAAGCTAAAACACAATAGGTTAAGATCAAAACATAAAGTCATAGAATTAGTTTCCTTGAGGGATATTGACAGAATAACTCAATAGAAGGAATATATTACACAATATTTTTCAAAGTAACTAAGTTCAGATACCAGTTTCAACGGATAGTACTACTGTTATATAATAGTGACAGTAAGTACAGTTTACAGGCATAGAAAGTATAAAGACTGCAAGAGAAAATTATAAGCAAGCTTCTAGTTTGCAAAAGGAATACATAAAATTATTTGAGACAACATGAACATATATGTAGAAAGTCCAATGGATTCCACAAAAAAACAAATAAAGATAATAAACGAGTTTAGTAAGGCTGCTGGTTACAAGACAAATAAACAAAAATAAATAGTATTTCTATGTACTAACAAGGAACAATCAGAATTTGAAATTAAGACAACAAAATCATTTACAATAGGGTCAAAAAATATGAATGATTTAGGGATAAATCTGACAAAAGGTGTGAAAGAGTTTCTTTTGAAAATGATAGAACATTACTAAGAGAAATTAAAGAAGATCCAAAGAAAAGGAGATATTCACAATGTCCATGGGTTCAAAGACTCAATATGCATAAAATGTCAACTTTCCCCAAATGTATTTCTACATTGACTACAATCCCAATCAAGATCCTAGCAGGTAACTTATGGAAATTAACAAGCTAACTCTAAAATTGCTACAGAAATAGTGTTATTGTTGTTGTTGTTATGTGCCATCAAGTCGGCCCCGACTCATAGTGACCCCTCCTTGGGTTTCCGAGGCGGTACCACTACTGAAGTAGATTGCCCAACCTTCCTTCCGAGGAGTAGCTGGTGGGTTTGAACTGCCAGCCTTCTGTTTAGCAATCAAGTGCTTTAGGCACTATGCTACCAGAGCTCCTAAGGACCTATAATAGCCACAACAAATGTGAAAGAATAGAAAATTGGAAGACTAACAGTGTCTGATTTCAAGATTCATTATTAAATAGAAGTAATCAAGATAGTGTAGCACTGGTCAAAGGAGAGAGAAATAGAACAATGGAGTAGGAAAGCAATTCTAAAAACAGACACACATATATATGGATGCTAATTTTCAACAACTGGGTGGTACAAAAGGTTAAATACCTGACTACTAGCTGAAACACTGGCAGTTTAAACCCACCCACAGGTGTCTTGGAAGACAGGCCTAGTGATCTGCTTCTGAAAGATGAAAGCCTTGAAAACGTTATAGGAGTATTCTAGTCTGTATACGTGGGGTCACCAAGACTCACAATAGCTTGACAGCAACTAAAATTAACAAAAATTTTCAACACAGATACAAAGGTAATTCAGAGAAATGATACAAAAACAAATGGATATCCAATATATTAAAAAAAAAGAACTATGACCCATTTCGTACCATATTTAAATATCAACTTAAATTAGATCACAGACCTAAATGTAAAATATCAAGACTTAACACACTTCTAGAAGGAAACAGAGAATGTGTTTGTGATCTTGGGGTATACAAATATTTCTTAGACACCAAAAACATAATCCATTAAAGAATAAATGTGATAAACTGGACTTGAGAAAAATATAAAACATTTGCTCTTCAAAAGAAACTGTTAAGGCAATGAAGACAGACCACAGAATGAAAGAAAATATTTGCTGCTGAGATCCAAGATGGTGGACTAGGTAGATAAACTATCCATGACTCTACAACAAAGACTCGAGAAATCATATTGGAAATTAGTACCTCAAAGTAAAGGATAAGGAAGTAGATCAAATACTGATTAGAGGCAGAGAATGAACAAAAACAGCAAACAGGGAGGCATACAGAGTGATGAACTGCCAACTGGCACAGTGTGGCCATTTTGAACTATTGCAAGAAATGTTCCTATTCAAGCAAGAACCAGATAACCACCTTCACCCACCCAAGGTTGTGCCAGCACTCACATGAGTAATTGGTGACCGACAGATGAGATCTCCCTCCATACCCTGTACAACCATTTGGTGACCAGAGGTACAATGCCCCACCCCACTCCACCCAACCAGTAGCTTGTCAAATTCCCCCTGCCAGTGCTGTACTGTTTTTGTTTCCTGTTTTATCTTTGATCTTATCCCCCCCTTTTCTTCCCCTCATCTTACTCCCTCTCGCTTTTTTATCTTACGGAGTGAATGCCCTGCCCCTAAACACCTTCATGGTCAGCAGTGCCCACTCCCGCTACTCCCTAGTCAGTGGTATACATTGCTCTCGAGGAGCAAGCACTGCGTTTCCACCACAACCATGCTTCTGCCAGTACTGTGCTGCTTCTCTCCCTCCGCCTTTTATTTTTTATTCTCAATTCTTCCTTTTTCTGGTAGTGTGAGGCCTAAGGCATTTGCCTGCTAATCAGAAGGCTGGCAGTTCAAATCTACTAGCCACTCCTCGGAAGGAAGATTGGGCAATCTATTTCCGTAGAGATACTGCCTCAGAAACCCAAGTAGGGGGTCGCTATGAGTCTTATTCGACATGACAGAAGTGAGCCGTGAGTACTTCCCCTCCTTTTTTTTTTTTTCCTTCTTTTTATTCCTCTCCCCTGTCCTTTGTTGCTGGGCCTGAAGGCTGGGGACCATAGTCGTAGGGGACATCAAGCTTGATTGGCACAACATAGTACAGAAAATTATCATTTTACATCTTACTTCAGTGAGTAGTGACCAGGGACTTAAAAGCTTATGAGCAGCCACCTAAGATGCAACTACTGGTGGTCTCCTTGTCCAGAGCAAAGAAAATCAGACACATGGCGTGGTAGTTAAGGTTAGTGTCAACTTGGCTGGGCCTGGTTTTGAGTGGCTGGGAAGCTAGATGTAATGATTACCCACGATGAGACTGGTAATCAACTCCATGGTGGAATCTGCTATGAGCAGCTGAGTAGCTGCCTTAGGGATGTAGTCTGCTTCCATTATATAAGCAGCATCTTTGAGAAAGGTCTTGAGCTTTTTGGCACACTGGGACTTTGTATCTGGCCAAGTCACTGCTGAGTGGCCTGCCATGTTGCCTGCTGATCTTGAGACTATTTCTGGACTTGAACTAGTGGCTTGCCTTATTGCTTGATAACCTTGGGACTGTGCCATTTCACTTGTTAATCTTGGGTTTCTCAGCCTCAGCAGCCAGGGGCTGCCTGAGTTAGATGTCTCCAGCTCCAGTGGGCCGAGAGCAAGAGGCAGAGCTGAAGCCCAAGGTTGAGGGGGCTTTCACCCAGCCCCTAGAGCTGGCACTTTGAACTCAGACTTCTAGCCTCCTAAACTCTAAGAGATTAAACCCCAGTTTGTTAAAGCCATCCATTTGTGGTATTTCTGTTAAAGCAAATATTTATAGTTTATTTATTTTTTATCAATTTCTCATAATTATGTAATTTTTTTTCTTGGATTTGCTTTAAAAAAACAAATAGTTCTTATTTCCTTACTTCTGGTTTATTAGTAAAATTGAACAATTCCACTTGTCTCATGAACTTAAAATGACAATTATAATTTTGACATAAATTTTAATACATATTTAAATAAACCCTCATAACAATGAGTAAGAGTCACCAATTTTACAGTAAAATATGTCATAGTTACAAAACCTTCAATGTTGTCAGAGTACATACTAATCTCCAATAATTTTTATTTCTTATATAAGTTGTATTACAAAATGAAAGCAACTGTAATCAAAACTTAAAACCCCAACCTAATTAACTTTTTCAAATAAATCCAAGAAAATAAAAGGAGTTTGATTTTTAAAATAAAAAAACATGCTACACATTGGATTTTTGGGGAGGTTGCAAGATGATAAGTAAGAGTCAAAAAGGAAGGTAAGAAAAGAAAAAAGGAATGAAACAGTGAAAAGTATAAAATAAAACTTGGCCAGAGATTTAAAAAAAAAAAAAAAAGCAAAGCAAAGGTAAGAGCAAAACAAAACAATAAATCTCAACCTGCTCTCGTGACTGTTAAATTCAAAATAACTTGCTACTAATGAGATTCTCGTCATTCTTTAACATGTTCAAGATTACAACAAACAGAAATGAAGCAAGCCTCACCCCAGGTAATACAACAGCTCCAATTCCACTTTTTAATTTTGATCGACCTCTGCCACCTCGTCCTGACAGTCCTGCACCACGAGGTCTCCGTTTTCCTGGAAATCCTGACCCACGTCCCTACACAACAAATAAGTAAAAAGTAAATATTTTTTTACAAGCCAAAAAGAATTTCAAATTCAAAAGTCAGTGATGTAAACATTTTATTAAATTTAGAGTGCATTTACCTCATCAACCAGTGAAAAAACAAAGAATACAATCCTGAGAATTTATGCTAATAACTTTCTTCAGGGAATCTGTTACCCAAATTATTTGTTTCTCTTTTATTATGATGACATGGTAAGTTTTAAGAGACCAGGTTTATTATTTGCATCTTTAAACATGTATTTTGCAACTTAAAACTAAGCAAATACCACATAAATATGGTCAGCATGAATCAAAGAAAATATATTACCTAGCCTATAAAAAGGCTATAACCTTAGGAAAAACTTTGGTCTGTCACTTGTCCATCAGCAGGTCTTGGCATTACTTTTGCATTTCCTAATCCTGCATGCTAGGTGGCTAGTACAGCAACAATCCAGATATCTAATGTATAACACACTGTATACAATAAAGAACAATGAAGGACTCTCACTAATTACTCTCAGTAATTACAGTATTAGGTAACATTTATTGAACTACTTACTCTGCATGAATCTAAGCACTTTTTTTTTCTCAACAATCCTTTAAGGTACGCAGTATGTCATTATCCTCATTTTAGAGATAAGTATACTGAGATTCAAAAGATTAAGTAACCTATTCACAGTCTAAGAGAAAGCAGGTCTGGCTTCAATGCCTATGTTCTTAACCACTATCTTGTATTGTTAAATTGAATGACTGTTTACTTTTGCTAGTGTAAAACTGTTTTTCCTGCTTTGTTACTAAAATTAAGTCAATTTCCTTTACTATTCAATAGCTTTCTATATGAATGAACTATGTCTACCTCATTCTGTCATAGTATCTAGATGAAAATACATTTAAAGATTATAGTAAAGATGAAAGGGTAAAAACCTTACTTTAAATCATCTAGATAATAATTATTTCACAAGGAAATGATTTTTTGAATTTTTATCCAATACAACAAAAAATTCTATAGAAAAACATTTTAAATTCTCTGATTTTTTAAGAAATAAAATTGTTGTCATTGATTATATTCAGACTTAATGTATTTACCACCTGAAAAAAATCTGGACTCTATACAAGTAAATGTATTATGCATATTTAAACTTTTTTAAATATTCAGGAAAATCTTTTCTTTTTTTTACACTGCAACAAATTAAATAATATGCCACATCTTCAGTTGATGTCATTTATCTCAGTTTGAAATGTTCAACTCATTACCTATTTATCAGAATGATTTCTAAGTCAATTATTTATTACATGATAACCCATTTTAAGCATAAAATAGATATACACGGAAGAGAAGAGAAGAGTATCTCCTCCTCCTCACCCTCAGTTTAATAAATGCAGCCAATTTCTAGTTTTGAAATTGCTTCTCCTTGCCTTCTTTAAATTACTCTCCTTTAGATCCCTTGAGAGATCCATCAGCTTCTTTGAATATGGGTAGTTAGGTAGATTGGGAAGAGATTATTTTTAAAAAATAGATATAAAAGATTTTTTAAAAACTTAAGCCAATGATTAAATGAAGACTATAATTATCTCTCAATTTACATTTCCACAACATCCAATGGCACAGCCAAGAATAAATAAAAATTGGTATTTTCTTCAAAATTGCCAAACAAGTCATCTTATACACTATTAAAACAAATAATCACCTTGGATGGTAACAGGGTAAGTTGGAAAGAAGTTCCTCTGATGGTGATAGAAAAAAAGAAAATAGGTTCTAGAACTCCTCTGGAGTTCTTCATCAATCTAAATAAACAGCCTTATTTCAGCACTACATTAACTATAGAAGATGAAGAAAAATTGTGTTCTCCAGTCAATAAAGTATTTTAGCTTTTGAAAAGATGTTTCAAATTAATATTTTTTCTTCAAAATGCATTATAGTACTTTCCTTCAAAGGACTAACAGGGCCATCAACAAATGACACCGTGAATAGTAAAATTTCCACAAGTTGGCAAAAATTAAAAAAAAGAGGCCCGTCTAACCTGAGGTTATTAACAGACAATAAAATTTGCTGCAATTCTAATATTTCTTTTCCATTAGTATATAAGAGATTAATGTAGCTGCTCTTTTGTTCTTTTCTAAACAACCAAATTTTACAGTTATGATAGCATGAATGATCAAATCCTTAATTACCTTATGGCTTATATGTAATTAGCCATATCACAGAAATACTGATAACCGCAACATAAGAAGTGACCATAAAAAGAGGTATTATAAATTTATACTTAAAACCATTTACATAAAATTACAATTTAATATCTGCATAATCCAGATTTAAAAATGCAAACACTGTTTCTTTACATTAAAATTTTTAGATTTAAAGAAGAGGCTGTGAAAGCTGAACTATTCACCTGTAACAGAAGTTAATTCTTAACATCTACTAGACAAAATGACCAAAAAAAAAAAAAAGATACATGAATGTAAATGCAATTTTATTTACCACTTTGATGCTCCAAATGGCACTGCCAGGAAGCTGCCTGGGTTTAAAAATTTCCCGACCTTCTGAAATGTCTGGGGACCAGGTAGAAGGGCTCACTGTATTATGAGTACTCCAAGCCCCCTAGGATATGGCAGGTGAGAAAATAGATGTACAAAACTTAGCAACATAAAAGATCAAAGCCAGCAACTAAGGAATTTTAGAACGGCAAAAACAAATGCAGAAGTATGGAAATTTAGGACAAATTGCTTCCAGATAGGGAAAATAAGCTTATTATTTATTAGTGACTTTATATTTAAATGTTTGCAGCTACCATTCACATTTTATTCTGGTTGAAACATCAGTACAATGAAACACATTTAAAATCACAATTATACAACCAAAAAGTAAATAAAAGTCAATTAAACTCTTAACAATTTGCAGTAACAAAAACTACTTGAGGATTATCTTTTTCTAACAACTATCACTATACTGAAAACAGATAGATAATCCTAGAGAATGGTAGGTGTACCTACTGCTATAAACAATAAACCAGCTGGTCAAAAAAAGCAACCAGAAAATGGGCAATCAACATAGACATATTTTAAATTATGGAAAGTTAGGTTTTAACCTTAAGATGAAACTACCATTATAATCTTAATGTTTAATTACACTTGTGTCAGTGACCTTTAGTTGTGGGTTTCAATTCTCTGATACAAGGGAATGAATATTAACTACAATTATATCCAAGGGGTTAAATTGAAAAGTTAAGAAATGTTAAAGCAAATTGTCCTAAATTTTCAAATTAAAATGCCTAAAGTAGCTGATAAATTATAATGGAAATACTATGTTATTAAAAATTAAAATTAAAGTATTTAATTCCCAAATATCTACATTCAGCAATAATCTGAACTAATCGGATGCTAAACAGCATGAAAAAAAATTTTTACTCCACAAAGATAACATTTTGAAGAAAAACACAAATGTCAAACAATAAAGAATCTATTCTGAATTCAGTAATCCAACAATGCATAATTTTACCAATTAATAACCAAAATTGAAGACAAGGTATACAGTACTTACTTACCAGTCTCTACAAACAACAACAACAACAGTAGTATCCTATTGTTGTTGTTGTTATTAACCACAAAGAAATACTTCCAGGAATTAAAATAATAAACTGGAAGTAAGAGCTTGAATATCCTTTGATGTAGTGGAGTATTTCATGAATAAAAGTATTTTGAGAAAAACCATACAACAATAGTTTCACTTTTAAATCAAGAGCTCAAACTTCAAACATTTTAAGTTCAACAATCCCACTGATTGTCTATAGCAAACTTAATTTTTTTACCCTTCAGGATCATTCTTCTGTTTCTCCTTGACCCATAAAATATCTAAAACACCTTTCTCAGGCTCACCTAATAGCTATTTCACTGTTAACAGTAACCACTGCAAGTGAATTACCTCATTTCCTCACTATCAAATCTTCCCTGCATCTATACCTATGTCTTTCTTCCATGTCCAAGTAGAAGTGGCTCACAGGGTTTCCAAGACTGCAAATCTTTACGGCAGTTGACTGCCTCAACTTTCTCCCATGGAGTGGCTGGTGGGTTTGTGTCACCAACCTTTTGGTTAGCAGCCTAATGCTTTTAACCACTGTGCCACCAGAGCTCCTTAATCTAACAGAAAGGTTCCAATTATTCAAGATTGCTTCTGATTTCTTTTACCACACGGACCCCTCTATGATAAGGACACTGAAACTACAGCGAATGGCAGAAGGAGGATTGGTACCAGATAGAAACATTTTTAGAGAAATTTTAAAAAGTCAGAAATTATCATTTCTTTCTTTAAAGGTACACAGAGTGTGCCTACCTCTCCTACCCTCCCCCACCACCTCTTCCACTTCTCTCACCTGTCACCCCTGAGATCATACAACCAATTCTTCCTGTTCCTCCTCCATATCAACCTGAAGTTGACAAGATGAAGACCTTTATGATGATCCACTTCCACTAAATGAATACTAAATCATCATGCTGTACAGTTAATAAGCTTATCTGTTTTGTGTGAGTCTCTGTGTGAAAATCTAGTAACCATATGATAAGAACTGTACCACTCAATTGTTTATGTTTTCAGTAAGGCTTCTGGTCAACAGGAGGCTATTAGTAGTTACGTTTTTGGGGAGTCAAAAGTTACACATGGATTGTTCAAAGATCATCCTAAATGTTATTATTTATCATGAAGGATTTAAACACCATCCTGGACACTGTTGACTCCCAATTCACATTTGTAGTTCTGACCTCTAACTTGGTGTGATTTTTCAACTGCATTCTTAACAGTTCCACATTGTCACCCAAAACCTCTCAGATTCGCAGTGTCTAAAACTTCTCCCATAACTAGTTCCTTCTTGTACCCATCTTTATAACTGGCATCCACTCCTTGGATCAGAAAATTGGGAGTCATTTTTGATTATCACTCTCCCCAAACCCACCCACTGACCCTTCAATCTTCATCTCTGTCACCTCTTTAATCAAAACTATTAGTAAATTCAATAATTATTGTCTTCAAATTTTGTCCCCAATCATTCTACTTCTTTGCACCACTCTGGCTACCATCATCTCTCAGGGAGTCTGCTGTTGGTCTTCATGCTCTCATGCCTGCATCTCCTCAAGTCTTTCTCCAAACAGCACCCATAGGGACTTTTCAAAAATATAAATCTGTCCAAGCAAGTCACTCCCTTATTTTAAACTCTTTATTTATTTCTCAGTGTACTTAAAATACAAACCTCTTTTCAACAGCATCTTACGGGATTCTCCCTCTGTCAGTATTCCCTAGTTGTCTGGCTTCCTTGCTATCCTTCAAACATATCAAACTCTTCAGCAATAAAGGGCCTACAGATCTGTACTAACTAAGAACATTTCTCCACTACTCAAAGCTCTCCAACTCTTTTAAAATGGGTGGCTTACTATGAACCTTCAGGCATGGCCTCTTTAGACAGGTCTTTTCTTAGCATTCCAAGTTAACCATCATCTCCTTTATCATATCTTTAGTATCCTCTCATTGCATCACAATTTGTTATCATGTATATTTTATTGTTCATAATTTTACTTAATGGTAAAAGGAGACATTTAAATTTAGTTCTCTCAATATTTCCATTAGGTTTACTAAGGATATTTGTCTAGTGTATATCTTAAATTCCTTTTGTTTATCATTTAATGTTATGTCAGTAGACAGTTATAAAAACATACCATAAAAGCTCTATTCTAAAATAAAATACTACTGAATAATTTTACCTCAGAAATAAGATTTTTCTGGTGATTACACACTATTCATCGTAATTTAAAATTAGATTTGATACCAAAATCTCAGAAAGGATTTACATTTCATGTAACATGTATGAACCAAATGAAGGGCTTTATTGATCAGAAATGTCTGGATGCCATTTTAGAGATAATTAGAAAACTACTCATGTACTATGAAGAACTTATGAAATGAAAGCTTGGATAGTTATGTGATGAATTTTAGTAAGTGAAAGACATTGGAAGATACGCAGTTTTACAGGAATTGGGAAAAATTATATTTATATATTCTGACAAAAATACATCAGCTAATATATTCTTCTGACCCTAAAACAAAAATATAGCTATAATTACCAAAGGAGCCCTGGTGTCACAATGGTTAAGCACTCAGCTGCTAATGGAAAGGTTGGCTGATCAAATCCACCCTATGGCTCCATAGGAGAAAAGACTTCGCTATCAGCTCTCATACAGATTTCAGCCTAGAAAACTCTATGGGGCAACTTAACTCTGTCACATTGGGTCACTATGAGTTGAAAACTGACTTGACGGCACATAACAACATAATTACCAAAGTTGCTGTCCTTCACCTTTCACCTTTGTTCAAACGAACTTACACAGATCACTCAAAAGAGGTTAGTCTTCCTGTAATAAATGTGCTCTCCTATTCCAACTTCTTATTAGGAGACAAAACCTACCCTATACAGGAATGCCTTATTTTATTGTGCTCTGCTTTATTGCACACTTCACAGATACTGCTTTAAAAAAAAAAATTACAAATTGAAGGTTTGTGGCAACCTTGTGCCCAGTGAGTCTACTGATGTCATTTTTCCAACAGCATGTGATCATTTCAGTAGACGTCTGCTTCACATTTTGGTAATTCTCACAGTATTTCAAACTTTCTCATAATGTTATTACACATTTAATAACTACAACAGAGTGTAAACATAACTTTTATATGCACTGGGAAACAAAACAATTCACGTAACTTGCTTTATTGCACTGTTTTGGCACCAAACTAGCAGTATTTCTGGGCTATGCCTGTAATTACTTGTACCATTTTACTATAACCTAGACGAAGAGAGACCACACCCATTTTGATCACTTAAGCATTCTGTTACACTCAGTGAGCCTCTATTAATTCTTTTTTTTTAATTTTGCATACAGGAATGCATCAATAAACACTGTACAATGTTAGAAAGTTAGAAAATACACTACCATATTATTTTACCTATATTATGTACCCTCATAAATAAAGCACACGCACACATGTAATGCTCAAAACACGCAAAGGAAACCAACACGTGATCAGGTTGTATGGTTTGCAAAAACCATTATTTGCATTCATATATGGTAATTCCTCCACCAGCTGCAGTCTATAATTCTGGATTTCCTCATCTATAAAAAACTACCAGTCTATCTAAAATGATGATATTCTTAAGCTATCTATGTGCTACATTAAAAGCAAAAGGTTCAAAATACAGCCACCAGGAGACTGTTAATTGTAAAGAAACCTACATAAACAATTTTAAAAAAAAGAAAAAGGCTAAGCAGAACCAACTGCTACCAAATCCTACAAAATCAAAACCAAACCCTTTGCTGTGAAGTCGACTTTGATTCATAGTGACTCAACAGGGCAAAGTAGTATTGATGTATAGGGTTTCCAAGGCTGTGACCTTTACAGAAACACACTGCCACACCTTCCTTCCACAGAGCCAAAAAACCAAAAAGGGAGCTCTGGTGGCATAGTGCCTAAGGCATCTGACTGTTAACCAGAAGGGTGGCAGTTCAAACTCACCAGCCACTCCTCGGAAGAAAGACTGGTCAATATATTTCCATAGAGATACTACC